ATAGCCGTATGCCTATTACATATCCATAAAACACTGTGATATAACCGCGCTCGGATCGGATCGCTTTCTCACTGCAGTCGAACCGCTCCAAGGGTTCGTTTCAATCGAGCCGAGACAACCTCATTCAAGCGATCTCGGAGCGATTACTTTGGCGCGGAACAGAGCGCGATTGCCCTGTTCACATATGCCAAACGAACCACGCTAACTGGGCAAACGAGATACGTTCCGAAACAAAAGTGTAGGTGTGAAAGCACCCTAAAGCTATATTTTTCAGTTTTTAAATTAATTACAGTAATATTATTGATTAATGTGAAAATGTTCATCTGATTTATGTACAATGCAGTTTTTACAGTATTATTTTCTGTCTTTTAGTATATACATTATATGAGAGACTTGCTTTGTTTACCAAATAGAGTGTATTTAATTGGATTTGCATTTTAAATACTAAATAAAAGTTTAAAAGATATTATTTTTAATTACACATATTAAGGTTTTAGTTATGATACTCCTAAAATATTTATGCAGAAATCTGCAGATTTTTACCAAAATTCTCAGCAGAGATAGAAAAAAAAATTGCTGATTCCATCTGGCCCTACATGACACTTAATGAAAACATTGAATAAGACTTTATTTCAAGCCTTTTCTGAAATATTATATGCCAATTACTTATATAGGGTATTGTGTAAATCTCAACATTTTGATTTTAAATCAGAACCACAATTTTGTTTGTGTTTCAAAAAGACAAAGGTATAAGATTGTGCACTTAACCACATTCAATCGACTAAGAGCTGCAACGCCATTGAAACTTTACATTGGCATAAAAACCATGTCTGTATTTTTTATGATTCACAAATTATTGGTATAAAACAGTTTCATGAAGGAAATTAGTAGATTGGAACCTGACTGTTATATTAAATTAAGAAGTCAGATTGCAAAAATACTCACCATGGAAACAAGATTTTTGCTGATGGCATTTTTAGCTTCAGGGCGATTAATCCCCATAACAACAATCCCTATAAACACAAGAAGAGTTATTCTACAAATAATTATTATTCAAAATGTGCAAGTAAATAAAAAACATAATGGAAAATTCATAATAAATGCCGAGTTATATCATAATAAATGCAAAACTGGAAAAGACTCTGAAAGTGGCAAGTTAAAAATATTTATCACTATATATATATATATATCACTAAAATTCTGTGACTTGGTAATGTTAATGACCAGATTATAGATTCTAAAGTCAAGCTATTAAAGTCAAATGACTGACTGTTTTGGAGTAATGGGGTTTTGGAACTCTTGAATTATGGGTTAACGTTAACAGGGAAGACGTTCACACACTGTTTTGAAGTGAGCGAGGTGACACACACACACGTCACTCTCAATAATCCCATACAAAAACTCAGTGATCAGTAACTTCGTCTTGTCTTCTACCTGAATCATCACCGTCCAGGTATCTAACGATAAGGTCATCTCCAGAATTAACTTCAGAGCTGTACAGTCGCACACCTCCGCTGAACGCACGATGCACACAAGGCAACCTTTTAGGAAGACATGTTTGCAAAACACTGTCCGATCTGTAAACGCCGTTGGAAATGTTTATTTGAGAGCGACAAAGCTGAAAAAGCGCTCTACACCTCACTATAGCCGCCATGCTGCAGCCTTCCCTGACTTTCAACTCTGAACTGCGAGTGACGTAGTGCTCGTGTCACGTGACTGGTGTCTCAGCGGCGGGATTTCTCCTCAGAAAAAAAGAAAAGGATTTGCTGGTCATGAACTTCATTCTATATGTAAAATGGTATATATTTATAATTATATGTATATATTAAAAATATATATGTACGCCATTAGGCATTTAATTTAATTAATTAGCAGGCGCTTTATCCAAGTCGGCTTGCTAATTAGAAATTCATATTCTAAGTTTAGTGGAAGTTATAAGAGTACACTATAATAACATTTCCTCGTTTTTGTGAACAGTGGATAAGCTTAAGGTAAAAATACTACCCAGGCTGTTATATGTAGGTAGGACCCGCTAAACATTGTGTAGGTAGTAGGGCTACAAATAATATATTGGTTTAGCATTGATTTTGCAATGTGTTTATTCACAATAGTCACATAGCAGCATATGCAATGTTGAAATTGTACCGTCTGAATATGCAATATTGATTATTTTATTGAGTTACTTATACAGTGAAGACTACGCTGTAATATTTGTAATATCATTTGAGTTTTCAATTAGGCTACTGTTTACCTGAGTAAGTTACTGTTAAACTCCTAGAAAAACAATAAAACATTGCGTATTTAATTTGTAGCTTTTTCCTTATTGCTTTTTCTATGCTTACAGATAATGATAAAGTTGTGATTTATGCAATCTAAAATTATAGATGTTCAAGTCATCTGGTGGAATTGAATGTATATTGAACTATAAGTCGCATAATAACAAAATATCGCAATGTTAGTTTCTTCCGATATCGTGCAGCCCTACTGTGTGCATTACCTCTGATTTAAATGTACATTGTTGCATTCAATTATATAGATTACTCGTTGTTAGAAACTTAAAACATTAATTTATTCATTTTCTTATCGGCTTAGTTCCTTTATTAATCCGGGGTCGCCACAGCGGAATGAACTGCCAACTTATCCAGCAAGTTTTTACGCTGCGGATGCCTTTCCAGCTGCAACCCATCTCTGGGAAACATCCACACACACATACACTACGGACAATTTAGCCTACCCAATTCACCTGTACCGCATGTCTTTGGACTGTGGGGGAAACCGGAGCACCCGGAGGAAACCCACGCAAAGGCAGGGAAAACATGCAAACTCCACACAGAAACGCCAACTGAGCTGAGATTCGAACCAGCGACCTTCTTGCTGTGAGGTGACAGCACTACCTACTGCGCCACTGCCTCACCCAAACTTAAAGCAACGAAAAATCAATATTTTTTGTAGTTAAATCACGGTACAAATTAGCCATGCTTTTAATATGCTAAAACCTAACCATGATGTTTAGCAAAATTTCAGTTATACACATGATAATCAATATTAGGCATGGGACGATTTTTGACGATTTTTTTTTACATTTTGTTTTAAGTTTTTTAGGACAACTGTATGTCCAGCAGAAAAGGTATCCAAACTTGCTTTTTCAAGTTGAAAAATATCTGTGTTAAACGAATGAAGACAGCCGAAGTCAATGATTCATTTGAATTATTTAGCCTGACATGTTTACTGCTCCAATATATTTTAAACGTTTCTCAATATAAAATATATTGTGTTCAAAGGGGGAATTTTTTTTTTATCTTTTAACCAGACATTTAAAAAGAATTTTTCATTCATTCATTTTCTTTTTGGCTTAGTTACTTTATTAATCTGGAGTCACCACAGCGGAATGAACCGCCAACTTAACCAGCATATGTTTTATGCAATGGATGCCCTTCCAGCTGCAGCTGCAGCCCACCACTGGGAAACATTCATACACACTAATTCACACACATACACTATGGACAATTTAGCTTACCCAATTCACCAATACCACATGTCTTTGGAGGAAACCGGAGCACCCAGAGGAAACCCGCGCCAACACGGAGAGAACATGCAAACTCCACACAGAATGCCAACTGACCCAGCCGAGGCTTGAACCAGCGACCTTCTTGCTGTGAGGTGAACATGCTACCCACTGCGCCACTGTGCAGCCTAAAAATAATTTTTTAATTTAATATTTATTACTACTATTTTAGAATAGTAATCACAATACCGTAAAACTGACATTTTTTTCCAAGGTTATCATACCGTCGAATCTTATACTGGCCCATGCCTAATTAATATGCTAAAAAAGCATGATTAATGAACTTAATGAACTATAATAAAACCATGGTAAATTTACTTTAATCATTTGTGCAGTCAGTAGATATTTACATTTATAAAATAACTAATTTGTTTCTTCAGATTTTGAAGTGATGAAATTAAATTCTCAAATGTTTAAAGCATCAAAATAGTTGAAAACCATCAAAGATTGTTTTAACCTGCATGAAAATTGACTATAATATAATAATACTATAAGAGTAGTAACCATACAGATCACAGCTAAGCCACACTTTGCTTTTAAGAGATTCAATTGACCCTTGTTGCATGCAAAAGGCTTTATAACAATACAAAAAAAGTCGTATTATAAATAATCCTAACAACAGTTTTATAGTAAGTGGTTAAACTTTATATAGTTATAAATAGTTATAATTATAACCTACTTGTGGTTATATTTTATGTGTATGGTAATTTATTACACAGTGATCACCATGTTGTGATGGATTATGTACTTATGATCAATATTAATGCTCATACCTTAACTCTGTTTACTTAAGATCTGCTTTATCATAAGGCTAAAGTTCATTCATCATTTAGTGTGTGCTAGTTTTATTGCTCTGATTGCAATATACTTGTGTTGATATTACAGTAAATGTTGTCCAAAATATAATCCATTCATGATACATTATAGCAATTTAAAATAAGACTACTGAAAATAAAATGGAGGCAAAGTACAAATATTATGATCATGCTTAAATGGGAATAACCATAAACAAGTATTATGACAGAATATAACTGTTTCTAAAATTATTGATGAAATTATACAATAAAAGTAAAGGTTTTTGTAAAATCCATTGTGCATGTATACTATAATGCATTATTATATACAGATTTCACTACCAACATTTAAAAATTGTTGATATCTTGCATGACTGTATTTTTGTAGAGTCCTAGATTTATATTTGGAGCAAAAACCTTTTTGATCACAAACATAATTATTATTTTGCTATCTTTTGTCTTTTGTCATTTTTTGTCATTTTTTTTTCCATGTCCACAGTTGGTTACACTACAAATTTGTCACTTAAGTCTCTTTTTTATTGTTCTAAACATTAAATGATATTTTTAAAGCCACACCAATGAAGTTAATATACTTTTCTAGATGAGCAAGAAAGTGAGAAAAGACTCAAAGAGTTCAGTGCTTGCATTTATTGTAAACAAAAGAAAACATACAATGTACAATACAATTCGAGAAGTTAACATTAACAGCAGCCCAATTTTTGGCTTTTGAGCTACAACTGGAGTCATCAAGAAGACACGCCAAACTACGACAGTAAGTGCACAAAACACCATTCTTCTCAATGAAGTGCAGGTTTTTGACACCATAACAACCGCACAGTGCAGTAGCGAACACAGTGGAAAACAGGCGTTGTGCAAATTGAGGGAACTCCGTTTCAGAAACATCCTTTTCATGAGGAGTCAATTTCAGTAGTGCTTTTCGTGGACTCAATAACAGACCCCTGCTGTTTTGAAATCAGTCTTTTCAAGCAGGCCACTTCTGCCGACAAATCCTCAATGCCCTGCTTCAAGTACAAATTCTCAGATTCAGAGTTGGCATACGAGTCATTTTCAAGGTCAACGATGAGTTTGTTAGGCACAGGTCTTGGTGAGTCTGGACATTGCCGGTATTTGTAGCTAGTTAGGGCCTCCTGGTGATCCTCGTGCCATTCCTTCGGTCGGTGATTCCAGTCCTGAACATTGGTCATCTGGAAGGACATCGGGCTAAGAGATGATTGAATGTACTCGGGTGTAGCACACTGACTCATTTGGTAGCGTCTTCTTGCAGACATGTCAACGGGAAAGGAGGACTTTCCAGATGATTCATAATCGGGATCGATTGCCTCCACTTTAATCTGGATGGCCCGGGCTTTGATCCTCAACTTGTGAGGTAAAGCTGAGGCACTGGAATCTGGCACTTTGAGAGTTGACACAATCACGCTCTGTGAATCAGACCTGGTTGGAACTGGACCCTTTGGGACCTGCTGTTCATCCTCATTATCGGAGGACTTGCTTACGGCGCCATCGTCGCCATCAGATGTTCGTGGCGAATTGCTAGACGATCTAGCGATTTGTAAGAACGGAGATGGCTGGGAGAAGTTCCCAGGAAAAGGACTACTAAGGTAGTTCCTGTAGAGTTCATAAGGACTGATCCTCTCTTTGGAGTATCTGCCAGTTTCCAGGGGTTCTTGTTTGATGCTGTCAGGGGATCTAGAAATATTTATTAGGGGGCTTCCCTGGGTAACTGTGCTAGAGTCAGATCCGTCGGACAAGGCGCTGTGAGGTGAGTGCTTGATGACCGAAATGCAGCTGCTGGTCAAACGCGTTGGCTCCAGATCACTTGGGTAGGAATCCTTGGTGGCACTGGGTGACATAAAGTCCTGGTAGAGCGCAGCAGTGGAAGTGGAGATGTTCTGCACCTCCTGAGCATAAGCGGCTGAGCTCACTAGACCAAACCTGAGTTTAAGTGACAAAAGCTCAGCTTTCAGCGATGCGTTCTCTTCCCCAAGGGCCATAAGCTTGTTCTCCAGAACCATGTCATTTAGTCTGCGCTTTTCCCTGGAGCGCTTGGCTGCTTCATTGTTCTTGCGCCTTCTCTCCCAATATAGGTTGTCTTTCTTCTCATCGGGTATGAACTCACGTTTCCGGCGACAGCTGGTGGACTTGGACTTGAAAGGTAGGGTGGACAGTTTGTGGTTAATCAGGTCCCTGTCTGTCCCTTGCAAAGCTACAGCCAGCACCAAGGCGTCCTCTCCACCGTAGGGCCCACTGCATGGGGGCTCTTTCTTAATGGCTTGCATATTACACAATGATGTCATCAAGACTGCATAAGCTCTTTAGTCGACTCTGGTTTTAAATAAACATCTCATCGTAGACCAAGTGCAATAAAAGTCATGTGTATCCTCTTCGTGAAGTCAGTTTCAGAGAATTCAGTGGTTATCTGGAGAGATAAAAACAGATACACATTAGACACATCATCATCTTACAGCATCTGGAGAATTTCTAGATCTTAGGCATTGGTGCTAAAGATGTGGCTGATAAAATCAGTCATTTTGCAGAACAAGAAAATGTCTGTGTCTACTTCACATGCGAGCAGCATGGTGCAACGTGAATAAAAACAATAGAATTTACAATGTTCATTGAGTCTGTATACACGTGATGTGGAGTTAGTAGTATTTCTCATCAAAACAACTGACATGAAGGACACATTTGTAAAGCCTGGTTTATACTTCTGCGTCAAGTGACCGGCGTAACCCACGGCACATGCAACGCGCGGAGCTGTGCATTCATACTTCTGCGCACTGTCTCTGTCGGTCTGCATTAACACTTCCGAAACGCTAGTTGGCAGTGAGGTGTAAATGTTCCTCTGTGTCGAGTTTCTCCGCTGTTGTTTTGCTTTTCCTGAACACTTCCGGGATGTACAAGTGGCTCAAACTCGCTTATTTTGAGGCAGGAACCGGCGGACATGCAACAACTTTAACTATGAGGTAAACACAAAACAAAACTTTCCATCCGGAGCTCCTTCACGGGACTCCACACTTGTAAACAATCGCTCCATCAGGCTCGCACCATTTACGTGGCTCTCAGTCCCGCCCAGACTCGTCAGCGCTACCAAGCCGACCAATCACAGAGCTTGCGCTACGCGTCGTTGCGATGTGTAGTTACATTTTTTGAGAGGTGCACGTCAGCGACGCCGACGGCCACGGGGAAGGGCTATGCGTCAGCGCCGTAGCATACGCCGGCGTTTGACGCAGAAGTATAGATCAGCCTTAACAGTCACTTGGCCACATCCACAGTGTAGAGGTTTCCAGCTGATGCAGTGTGAAACAACAGAGATTGACCAAGAAACGCACAACACACCTATCAAAATCACCTGTATAGGCTCCCCTAAAGAAAGGTTACTTTTATAGACAGTATGTCTTAAGTAATTAAGAACTGAGTTGTCTCGATGCAAACTGACATTGAGTTTATATGTATGTTATGTGTTAACTCTGTAGGCAGTAGAGAACCGTAGTGTTCTTGTGTGTACTGTTTGTTTACAAGTGACACTGGCAAATTGGCAATCATTTTTAAGGTTCCAGGAGAACAGGGATTTTATGACAACATTCTTGTCTGTATAGGATCTAACTTTAAATGGAAACAATAAATCAAAACCTATGCATCGTGTAAATGTAGTCTACCCCAGTGCCCCTGTAAAGTATCGAACCAAAGCTTGAAAAAACAAATGTGTGAGTGAACTGTACAAATGGATTAAACAATATAAACAATTCCTTTGGTTTTTTGCAAACCTGTTTGACCCATTAGACTAAAAAAGTATTCATTTGTGGTTCTGATCGTAAAAAACACGCAGGTCAAAATTGCTAAAATATTAATGAAACATCATCAGGATTATTATTAGCAACGCCCTTGTGTTTGATTATATAAAGTCACCAACCAAAAGGTGACTTCTTTACAACAAGAGTAAATGAAGAATGTGTACAGTTCTTCAGCTTTTTAAAGTAAAAATAAAAATATTACATCCTAATATCAAGCAGGTCCAAACGTGCCTATCAAAACGTAATTTCCAAACTATGCTCTGCCCCATTATGTCACCATTTTAAGGCGGGTCGTGATCAAAGTAATGCATTGAGAGCACACACTCAGCCTTTCAAAGGGAAAACGCTTTTATAACGTGGCCGTGCTTACATTCAATTCAATTGTGGAAACCCTTTCGAAGAAATGCGTTAATATGAAGACCGCTTTATTTTAGTTCAGCGACTTGTGAGGCAAATGTGAAGACCTTGTCATGGCAGTGACCGTGTAGATCAAAGAGCTGAAATTACCTCATTTAACCCCGGCTATGGTCATAAACTTAAGTTTACCGTTGTAACTTAGCCGTGAGGTCGATCATAACACTATTAACAGATTGTAAACACAGCCGGGCTTGAAGTCGGGCTCCGGTACAGGCGCAGACTAACAGCACAGGGGAACAAAGGAATGCGCGCAGCATCACACGTGGCTGAACAGAGACAAATTAATCAATAAAAGGGCGCTAGAAAAATGCGATCGAAACATCTCTCAACTCGACAAACAAGGAACATGATTATATTATCTCTGCTCTGGTGGTTTACGGCAACAAATTATTTCTCAAAGTCAAGGGGTGCGCGTATTCAACCGTAATCTCCAATGAATAAATAGATATGATGACAAACTTAGTTGTAATGAAGTGATGGGATTACTTTAAAATAACAGCTTTATAGGAAAGGCGTACAGGCACCATGCCCTTGTTGTGTTATTTGACAGGCATTTATTGCATTCACCCCATCCCGACTGAGACACTCAGGACAGCCTCATCTGTGCGCGTGAAACATTACCCAAACGCATTGTCATTAGAAATATCAGATTTTTTTTTAAAGTCGTTTAAGACGTCGTGCCATCGCAGTCTTTTTGATCAGAAGTGTCCCAGCTTCCGTTATTGTGCAAGGACTGTAAGATGATCAGTCACTATTACACAATAAATGCAAACAAGCGTTATGGAACGCAGACCAAATGAATATTACGCACGGTATTATGAACGTGCATCAAAGCGAGCGCGTGTCACATATTCAGTGTGCCAGCGCAATTCTACACATGTAAGGCTTTGTGATTGATATATAATATTTATTTTACAACTATTTGATTTATATTTAAATAATTACACAAAGTATGCATATTATATGCATGACCTGAGAGGCTGATACACCCACCCAATATGCAGACACTGGGCTATCCCGTCTCCCAATCTTATATCTGGGGTTCATTAAAAACATTATAAATGTGTATTTTAAAAACACTGTGTGAGTAATACCAACAACAGCTCAGGAGCGCTAAAGTCAAACAAGATATTTCATCACTGATCTAATAATACTCAACATAGAAGTACTGCTAAATGACGCCTTGAAAGTTGCTTTACTGTATCAATCTGTTATAACTCATCTACCGGCTCAAAGAGCCCAACCAAACCCAATCTAATCACAGCGAAAGAAGAAAACATTTACCTCTAGTAACCAAAACCCCACTTAGATGGAGATCCGGAATAAATAGTGCGCGTGAAAACATTAAGAAGTGTTTCATCAGCTGCAATAAAATCCCATCTGGAAATGATACTTGTGTTTCTCCTTTGCGTTTTCCTGCTGGAGTGGCTGCTGTTCGTGGATCTGTGTTAGTAGGTCACTACTGAAGTGTATTGGCAGCGCGCTTTGACTGGCACTTCTGCGAACCAATCGAAACGCGGCATCTTCCGATTTGAGCCAATGATTCGCTCCTCGTTTTTAGAAGCCTTCTGGCTGGCGCACATAAGTAATGATGACTCCATAAGAATGAACTGTAATATACTCAACATAGCAGAGAGTCTTAAAAATAGACGATGCAAATGTTAGCTAGTCTTTTCTTCTATTAGGTGCTTCCCATTGACTTTCTTAAAACAAGATTCAAACGAAATGTATTCATGTAACTATTAACATAATTATTTTAGCGTTAAGTATTAAGAACTAGCCTATAATGTTAGTGAATCTTGATTTTATATATACTTTATTTATAATATTATATAATTTAATTAATATTAGTATTAATTTTTATTATATTAATTATTACCCATTTAATTCTAGATGACTTGTATGCTGTTATTTCAAAATACCAAAGACATCAAATAAAACATGGTATTTAAAGAAACCAGTTTATGCTGATCTATATAAATGTTATGTATTATTATTATTATTATTATTATTATCCTTTAAATGACAGCGAATCGATTCCCTTTAACCTTTTTTTTTCATCATTACAAAACTCAATGACCTCCGCAAGCTTTATTTTCCCCAATTACCAAACCTAGTTTGACTTATAGGTGTTGTGTAATTGTCAATTTACATAATTTATGGCTCTTTAATAGTCGATATGATATAACAGGTGTGGATGTGATGTAACCTAAAACCAAGGAGTTGCACAACGTGGCGCCCAGGATGACCTATATTAAATAATATGTGTGCGACTGCGCCATCCAGTGGCATAACAATATATAATATTTCATTTGCGCTGTGTTATGAGTGCACATTCAGAAACTATTTCATAAAACAGTCACACTTTACAATAAGAGTTTCATTAGGTAATATTAGATCGTGTGTTCACTGTCAGCATTTAAGTATGAGTAATAAGTAACTATTTATAAATTAAACTAATAATTTATTCATTTTCCTTCAGCTTAGTCCCTTTATTCTTTAGGGGTCGCCACAGTAGAATGAACCACCAACTTATGTTTTACGCAGCAGCCCTTTCAGAAGCAAATCAGTACTAGGAAACATCCATACACTCATTCACACACATACACGATGGCCAATTTAGTTTATTTAATTCCCCTATAGTGCATGTCTTTGGACTTGTGGGGGAAACCGGAGCACCCGGTTGGAGGAAATCCATGGGAACATGGGGAGACATACACGACGGCCAATTTCACCTATAGCGCATGACTTTGAACTTTGGGGGGAACCGGAGGAAACCCACGTGAACATGGGGAGAACATGCAAACTCCACACAGAAATGCCACTTGCCCCAGCCAGGGCTCGAACCAGCAACCCACTAATTATTGACTAATTTTATTATTAAAAATCCATAGTTAATACACTTGAGTAAATGTGAACTATGAATGAACGGCTTCATTCAAAGAGAAATAACTCATTCATTCATTTTCTTTTTGGCTCAGCCCCTTTATTAATCAGGGGTCACCACAGCGGAATGAACCGCCAACTCATCCAGCATGTTTTACGCAGATGTTTTCCAGCTGCAAATAGGAATAATACTGTAATAAATTCCTTGTGAGGCGAGGCAGTGGCGCAGTACTGTCGCCTCATAGCAAGAAGGTCGCTGGTTCGAACCTTGGCTCAATTGGTGTTTCTGTGTGGAGTTTGCATGTTCTCCCTGCCTTTGCGTGAGTTTTCTCCGGGTGCTCTGGTTTCCCGCACAGTCCAAAGACATGTGGTACAGGTGAATTGGGTAGGCTAAATTGTCCGTAGTGTATGAGTGTGTGTGGATGTTTCCCAGAGATGGGTTGCGGCTGGAAGGGCATCCACTGAGTAAAAACTTGCTGGATAAGTTGGAGGTTAATTCTGCTGTGGCAACCCCGGATTAATAAACGGACTAAGCCGACAAGAAAATGAATGAATGAATGAATAAAATCCTTGTTTGTTCATGTCAGTAAACACAATAACAAATTGAAGCTTATTGCAGAGTTTTACCAATAATAAAAAAACAATAATTAATTTTGCACATGCATTTCGAAAGCAAGCGAGTACACTCAGAAATAAAGGCGAGCTGTCACTGGGGTGGTACCTTTTTAAAAGGTACACATTTGTTCTTAAAGGGTTCATATTGGTACCTCAAAAGTAGAGGGAGACCGGGTTGAAACACAGGGAGAGTTGTAACAACCAATTCCACAAATCAGGGATAAGATGGGGGTCATGTAACATTTTCAGTTTCCTCAGGTTAATTTAACAATCACACATGGAGATTTTCCAGTTAGTTTTGCAATCTCTCCTAAACCTACAATAGAAAATTGAATTCTGGGGTAAAAAATAACAAGATAATATTTTGTTTAGTACATCTGCCATTGTAGATGATGTTGTATGGGTTATATCAGGTCAGACTGTAGTTTCTCTAGTAAATAATGGTGTATCAACCTCCTGCTAATTTCAAAGCACCATTCTAATACAGCTAGCTAAACAATGGGTGACAGTGGCGGGGTAGGTTGAAACACGAGCTTTGAAAGTATACAAACACTCACACACACATATGAATGTGCACATACAGGCATGCACAAACACACACAATATACACTTCCAGTATTCACATATATTGTATTGTTGCAGTCATTTATTTACAATTAAACTGTTGTTTGGCTATCGCTTGTAGTACGCTTGTGCATTTTGTCTACCTGTTACAACTCACCCTATGTGTTACAACCTACCCAGTAGTGGGGTAGCTTGTAAGAAATGACCACTTTGTATTTGTCATCATTGATTAAGTCTGTGATATAGTTTAAGAAAATTAAATTGTTGACGTTTGTAGTAGACAAATGCGAGTACTTTGCCTAAAAGTTTCAGTCATGTAGCTAAAAAAAAAAAAAAAAAAAAAAAAAAAAGGTAGTTGTAGGTCGTAAAGAAAAAATTGTGTTACAATCATCCCCGGACTACCCTATATATTAGTACCTAAAAATTTAAGAGGAACACTTTGGTGCTTATTTTTAGGTACTAGTACCCTTGAGATATTAATACGGACATTTTAGGTCCAAATTTATACCTTTTAAAAAGGTACCACCGCAGTGACAGCCCGAGTACCTTTATTTCTAATAGTGTAGTAAGAATAAAAGTTTAGCAATGGATAAAGCATAACACAAAGCACTCACTTGTGCGGAATACCTTTTTATTTAAGAGGTATTATAACTAAAATATTCACAGTGCAAGTTAAGTGATTTCTTGAATAAAAACGCAGTTAAGCAATACAATCAGGAGCACATTTGTAAAGAGGAAAAATAAACGCACGGTTTCCTTGCATGGTTTCATTATGATGAAAAGTACGCGGACGCAAAGCGTGCGTTATCAACTTTGTAGCGCAGTTTGTGAGGAAGCAGAACTGACTTTTTGGTCCCTCCGTTTGTTTGCATTGCGCCTTCACGCGTGGCTCCTGTCTGCCGCGCGTAATTCTGTGCCAAGGGCAGTGTTTTAGGGCTGCTGCATCCACGCGTCTGGTTGTTCGGTGCACTTGTGGAGTCTGGCAGGCCAGAGTCGATTCCATGCGCAAAACTTGCATTCCTCCTGTAAGCTCCGAAGGTGCATGCATTCGTGCCATCACCGTGTCTTCTTACAGGATTATAACCATATAATAAACTGGTGCGCCGACTGGTATTTGGCACGGGGTATGAAACCAAATCAAAAACCGAATTCAAATGATTTGTTTGACTACACCTGCAACAACCAGAAAACGGGCAATGTTGAATCAAAGTGCCTGGAAAGGACGGATAACATTCATTTGGGAGTCCAAAAGAAAATCCAGCTGGATGATTTGTAGCAGCGCGGTGGTGATGCACTGCAGAAAGAGCAGCCTTTAGCTTGTCGTTTTCCCGCTGGAGCTCGACGGCGCGCGTCTCCAGAAGATGCTCCTCCATCCTCTTGCGCTGGCGAGACTTTTTCGCCGCTTCGTTATTACGATTCCGCTTGAGCCAGTAATTACTGTCCTTTAGCTCATCCGGCGTAAATTCTCTTTTCCGTCGCGTGCCAGTGTTCGCGAGGCGTGTTGGCATCGCGTTCAGCTGGTAGGCATCCCGTAAATCACGAACGCAAGCCAGGTCGTCAAGCGCGGAGCAACAAGCACCTGTTGACATCTCAGCAGGCAGGATGAGGGCCAGTATGCAAGTGTAAATTTGTCCAAAAAAAGTAGAGAATATGTATTTTTTCAGTCCCGCCTTCCTTGGGAAGTGGCGGGAGATTAAGAACACCTACTTTACAGTCATTGGTTAACATCAACCAGCACACAAAGCTCACTTTTAGAGTACATGTTAAACGTTTGTGCTCATTTAAAGGTGCTGTATGTAAGTTTTTGACTCTTCTAAAGCATAAAAGTACCATAATATGTTTGCAGTTATTTCAGAAACATGCTAAGTGAACATACTTGTTTATCTGGAAAAACAATGCTGAAGTCAGATATTCTGATTTTAAAAATGCGTTTTCCGTGCTGGAACGCAGTCTTTGTTTATGTTCTTTTAACCCGCACAATGCCAGTTTAGCCAATTATATTTCAGCACTCCGGGTTGCCTTGGTGGAAAACCGCGTATTTGATTCATCCATTCAGAAATGCTCTGAAAGCATGCGACCGAAATGCGACCTCCGATGGACTAAAACAGACTCCAAAATGAGACAGATTCAGTTGCGCATGAGGTTATTAATTAGCAAATGATATAAATAGTACGAACATAAACATTAGGTGAGCAGATTACATTATAACCACGTGTCCTAAGAACACGCTTCATGACTAGATACGCTGTGATAAGTAATTTGGCTGTTTGCACCAGACGAAACAGGACAGAAAATGAAATACAGCCATTCAGAAGCACAGAATATGCACTCACTCACGAAATGGTAAGGTTTATAATCGAT